TAGGTTCACATGCTGCAATAAATTAACTCAAAAATGTGGAAACAGAAGTCCATATGCTAGTCTAGGTTAATTTAATTTTTTGTTAGCTTTCAAGAAAGCTGGTTCACCAAATTTAAGATAATTATCTGGTTACCTCTGTGTGTATGTATGTATATATATGTGTGTATATATATATATATATAATATTAAGCCTGTATTAGAATATATGTATTAAAATAAAATATAACCTATATAATAAAAGCCTAATATGCTAAGTGTCGGACCATTCATTCGACCATTTGACCAGTCACTATGGCATGCACTGACCACCAGGGGGCAGGCATTCTGATCCATAGGTTAGCTTGCTGCTAGGATCCGGCCAATCAGGACTGCAAGAGATGGGCTGACACACCCTGGAACCCTCCTGCAGTACCTCCTGGCTGGCCAATCTCCCATGGTCCCTTCCCAGCCTCTAAAATATTTCTTCTAATTAATTTCCTTTCAATGTGCATGAATCCATGCACCAGGCTTCTAGTATTTATAGAATGTTTTATTAGAATATATATCATAACCTATATAATATACTATGTGTACATTCTAATATATATATTTTCATTAGCAATGAAAATCCAGATAATAACCAATGTGAAAAATATCATTTATAAGATTTACTGTATTATTGGAAATATTTGTAAGCAATAGAATTTTCAAGTTAGGGACTCTGACTCTCTTAGACTAATAAATGACACTTATTGGCAGAATAATTGGGTGGCATTCAACATTATATGCAAAAGGTCAGGAAATAAAGCATTTCCCATGGAACAAGTAGTAGGTTTCCATCAATTTCTTTTTAGCAGAAATAAGACATGGGATTTTCTACCACAGGTATAAAACCTAGAGCTGAGGACACCATGGTTACAACTTCCAGGCTTTACATTTTATTCTTTATTTTTTATTTATTTAAAAAATCATTCAGAGAGTAAGGGAGAGGGAGAGAGAGATAGAAACATCAATGATGAGAGAGAATCATTGATCCACTGCCTCCTGCATGCCCCCTACTGGAGATCGAGCCCACAACCTGTGCATGTGCCCTTGACTGAAATCAAACCCAGGACTCTTCAGTCCATAGGCCAACACTCTATCCATTGAGCTAAACTGGCTAGGGCTTATTCCTTATTTTTTAATGTCACTTTTGAACCAAGTTACAGGTTTCAACTTACTTTTTTAGCATTCTTGAACCAAGGTATAGACTCTAAATGTCAGAGCCTGGATAAGACTGTGCTCTGGATTTGGGGTCTGGAGAGAGCAAAACTCTCATCCTTTAACTTTTGTGGTGGGACAGAATTAATAAAAAGCTAAGTGCTAAGTAATGAATTCCTTCAAAATAGGAGGAATGCTAGTATATAGATACAGGACAACTAAAAACTACTAAAATTGTTCTAAAGGATTCAGTCATTGTGCAAATGGTTAGTGATGCTTCTTAGAAAGTTGGACCTGAGGGTTCTATTCATGGTTATTTTGGGTGTTGTTCTCTATGTACCATTTTATTTTTCTAAAGTTGCCATATGAAGTGCATTTCATTTAGGGACATAGATTGCTACTTACCTTTGTCATTGGCCTACAATGAGCACCATTTTAGAGTATGAACCTCACAGAGGGAACCTGCATCTCTATGGACCACTGCAGGGATGGCAATAAGTAAAAAAGGAAAGGTTTGATGGCATTGAAACTTAGACAAGTAAAAAGTTTGGTAAAAATTGAAAATGAAATGTATTTACTTTATTTCCCAAGCAATCATGAGAAGAGGATTCCAACACTACTCTCATGATTGTTACAGGAAGATGCCCTACCGTAATAAATGTGTGGTACAAATTTACAGGCACAGTGCTGAAAAATAAAATCACGTATGAATCAGAGCTCATGCATTCAGTAAAAGGAATAGAGGAACCTAAATGTAAATAAGGATAAGTGATGAGATTGCGTTAATAACCCAAATTTACTTATGTGGTAGGTAGCAAGGGATGCCATAAAATAATTTTACACTCTACCGATATTTAAATAGCCTGTATAAATTGTCAAAAATTTATGAAAAAAAACATGGAATATTGAAAAATACTGATTTTAAAAAATAAATATACATGTATAAATTTCAATTTTAAATAAAACACATAACATTTTTAAATAATTACTTCCTTTGAAAAATCTTTTTTAATTAATAGATCAATATCTATCTACCAATCCAGTCATATATAAGGATATTTACAGGAGAATTTAAGTAAAAACAGAATCCTTCCAAATAAGTGCAGCTTTCAGATAAGTCTCAGTCTGTTCTCATCCTGACCTCTGCTACCCAGTTTGCCAAACCTCCGAGCCTCCCATACAGAACATCTGAGTCAGTACTGACACAAATCAGGAGCCATGCCTATGTTTTGCAGTGTACTCTCTATCATAGTACAAACGCAGCCAGGAGTGTAATTATGTTCCCTCACCAGCTTCTGGTCTTTCCAAGAATTACTGTCTGCCGTTCTATAAACCTCCAAAGCTGTAAATAAAATAAATAAATACAAATAAACAATTTTATTTGTGTGATGTGGCTAGAGTTGATTTATTTAATTCATGAAAGATGTTAATTTTTCATAATCAGAGTCAACATCCTGTTCAGGGGTTAGTCCAAGAGCTTTACATGGATCAATTGGTTGCCTGTTTATGCTGACTCAGCAGTTCCTGAGAAGGGACAAAAATATCTAAGTAGCATGCAGCTTTCAAACATCCTGTTTAAGGACACAGAGCTTGGCAATTATATAACAATTCTGACTTATGGAGGAGAGGTGTTAGTTTTAGACATTTAATAATTTAAGCATGGTAATGAAGATGGTGAAGTTTCTCTTTATTTTTACCTGAATTCTGGAAAAAAAAAAAAAAGGTTTACCTCCACATTTCCAAACATTTAACTAAAATGTAACCAAGCCTCTAAGAAGTCCTTTCTCTAGGTCTTATCTCCTTCCCCTTCCTTCATGGGTGGTTTGTGGACATGGGTATGGCTTTGCATGCATGTGTGTATATGCGTGTGTGGGGGGTGGGGGGTGGGGGGGCGCTGGCTCACTATGCAATTATGGAAGTTGGTTAAGAAGTCTCTATGGCTCCAGAAACACTCACTGGCCATGTGATCTTCTCCAAGACTCACCTCAGTCTTCAGTTTCTCCATCTGTAAAACGAGAGTATTAGACCTGGTTTTCTCTCTCTCTCTCTCTCTCTCTCTCTCTCTCTCTCTCTCTTTATTAGCATACTATTAAATTGACTTATTCAAGATGCAGAACAGTTCCAACACACTAAAACAACTCCTCCACACTACCTTTTATAGTCATATATCCATCCCACTCTTAACTCTGGGCAATCACTGATCTGCTTTCTATCACTGTAGTTTATCTTTTCAAGAATGTTATACAACAAAAATCATATAGTATGTAGCTTTTTGAGAGTAGTTTGACTCAGCATAATGCCTTTAAGATTCATCCAGACCAGCTGTGGGCAAACTTTGGCCCATGGGCCGGATCCGGCCCGTGTGAAATGAATAAAACTAAGAAAAGAAAAGACCGTACCCTTTTATGTAATGATGTTTACTTTGAATTTATATTAGTTCACACAAACACCCCATCCATGCTTTTGTTCCGGCCCTCCAGTCCAGTTTAAGAACCCACTGTGGCCCTCGAGTCAAAAAGTTTGCCCACCCCTGATCCAGACTGTTGTATTTTTCAATAGTTCATTCCTCTTTAAGTGTTGAGTAATATTTCTCAGATGGAAGTTCCAATACATAGATATTAACGGTTTTCCTGCAATTTCCCAGTAATTTTCACCTGGTTAGTCTTAGCCTCCACTTACATCACATTTTGACCATTCTTTCCATGCCTGTTTCTAAAGACATTTTCCTCAGCCAGAACTTTCCCACATCCAAATTTTAAATGCTAGACCCTACTGTCTTTCTATCTCTCTTACTCATGAACCTTATAGAAATCACTCAGGACTTGGGTTTGTAGTATATTTATCATTCTTCTCCTTTCTTTATTCTCTATTCTTCTTGCTAATGCTCCCTCATGAGACATCCTCCCCAGTCACTCCCTATATCTGACTTCTCAGTGTGGCCCTTGTTTCATTCACTAGCCATGGCTTCTCTGGTAGCCCACCCAAGCCTCCTGGCGTCATTATAAAATGTTATGACTGTTGAGCAACTAGATCCAAAAGTGTTGCTGACAGAGGGGAAGAAAACAAACCAACAAAATAAATTGTAATACAGATAAGCAAATGTACTGCACTTAAGACAAATATTCAACTCCGTAACTATAAATGGAAGATAGCAGGCATGTGTCTGTCCCAGATCTGACATACCCGGCCTTGTTTAATTCATCCTAGCTGCCCAGGTTAGATTCTGATGTCAAAGGCAGTCAAAAAAATTGAAAAACAATTTCTAATCCACAACCCATGCTTCATAAATGATTTAAGAGCCTGTTAATAGGGAATGGACACTAATATCTTCTATTTTCCCTCATCTGAATCCGCAGCTTCTCAACACTTCCAGTCCCACTCCTACTGCCACAGGCATTGGAGGTAGACAGGAGAATTGAACTTGGTAGACAAAGAAGAAAATTATGTCAACCCTTAAGGGCACACCCAAACTTCTTAAGTCTTCTCTAACCCTGAAGGTAAGCAGAGGTCACCTCTCTGGTGGCTTCAGGGAACAGAAGAAGGAAATGCCTGTGTTTTTTTGGAAGAGGACATGGCCATTCTGGAGGCAACATTTACCTTTAAACAGTGCCCTTTTGGGACTACTAATACTTTGAAGAGATTTCTATCCGAGGATAGCTAAACAGGAAGCATAGTACCCCAGTCCATTCTGTTGGAAAAACTCAAGCTCTTGTTTTAAGATGGTTTTGGTTATAAAATATTGAATTCTTACCTCTATCCTAACCCTCCCCTAGTCACATTTTTGGAACATTAATTATGTATTGTTTACTGTCTACTATCCATCAAATAGAGTCAGAAATGAGTCATTAAAATACTCTTTAAAGCCTTTCCCTGATTTTCTACCATGTGTCAGTCATAGAACTAGGTGCTGTATATATGCATTATCACAATAATGTGGGTAGTTTTTATAATATTTATATTATTGATAAGAAAACTGAGGCCTAAAGATGATAGCTTTTATTTTCTGCATTCATAATGGGTTTCTTTTTTATTCACCATAAAGTAACTTTTCCAGACACTAGCCATTAAAAACTGTTGAGAATTTACACAAACACAACAACATTGTTATTAAATTAAATCTATTGTCAATTTATGAGAAAAAAAACCTACATTTTTTCTCACTGAGCCATTGAAGCAAGAAAAATAGAAAACAATGAAAGAGTACTTTCCTCCATGATTCCTTGACTATTATGCAAATGCAAGCATGTTGGCCTGGGAGGCGGGATATTGATCATGACTGGTATGTGAAGCCAGACCAGGGTTTGGATGAGACGGCACATAGTGCAGTGGTCTTGCCTTCACTCTTACAGCAGAGAGCTCTTCGGGGCTCAGGTGCACACAAAAGGGAACACGGGGTATACATAGAACTCTGAGTGTTGTTCCTTTTTTAGGGAGAAATTAGAGCCATAGCCTGAGGTTGTAACCATGAGCCCTTTTTCTTCTCTCACACTCAGTGTCCAGGTCAGAATGACATGGCTTGTCCTGCCCGTGTGAGGCTGACTCACTCCAAGACCCAGCACTGGAGCGGCCCTGGCAGGGCTCTGATAGCACTATCTACAGGGCCAGGAACCAGGAGGGCAACCTCTCCCTCGCAGACCCTGAGCAGGGTTTGCTTATTTGTGTACTTAAATGATATATTTACTTTTAAAGAGATAGTCCGGAGTCTGCCCAGCTTTGGCTGTGGCATGAAAATGATCTGAGGTATTTCAGATGCCCTCTGTTCCTTCTTTCAGAATGAGCATTTAGAGGCAAAGGGGCTCAGGGCACGTGTCCTGAACAGTAAGTCAAGAGCTTTGAGTTCTGGTCTGGGCATTTCCATGGCAAATTAAGTCATACTGAGGAAACCCCTACCCTTCTCTGAGCTTCAGTTTCCTCTTCTCTAAACATAGGCTGGAATCGAGGGACTTTGTCCCAACAGGGAATTTCTGTTAATTTCATCAGCTCCCTCAGCTCTTAAACTGGGAATGTCATTGAACCCAATACCCCTGAACTAGCAGATGTCCCCAGGTCCTTTTATTCAGCAATGAAATTCTCTTCTTCAGCCAGGCCCAGGAGGTACTAGGTGTGTGAAGCGAGGCTGCCTCTCTCTCCCGTTCTCATACACACTAGGAAAGAAATTGACACCCTCCCCACACAGCCATCCCCACTAATTCATTTCAGAGACTCAAACCTTTTGCTGCAGGAAGTCATAGGTAGTAAACAGCAGTGGTTAAGAGCACAGACTCTGGAACCACAGTGCCTAGTGGAGGGCAACTAAGCACCTCTTACTAGTTGTATGCCTCAGTTTTCCACCTGTAAAATGGGGTTTTAAACATCCTCATAAGATTGTGAGTTAATATATCCAAAGAGTTTAAAGTAGTGACTTGTATACGTTTCGTACGCTAGAAATATTTGCTATTTTATTGTGTTTAACTGCAATCATCTTCGCTACACTCACAAGTTATTTTTTGCTGCACTTTACATCAGTTCACTTATAATAATAATAAAATTAACCAGACTTATGCCAGGCACTGTAGTAAATATTTTGCATAACATATCATTTTATTTATTTCTCTATGGTCAGGGAGAAGGGGTTGTGGCTATGGTCACTGCCTTCATTTGAATGGTTGGTTTTGTGAATACAAGGACTGTGGCTCTCTGCTTCACTGTTATTGTCAGCAGCATTTGTTATAAAGCATGCAGTTTGGGTTTAACAAATGTATGAAAACTCTAATATGGTAAGACTGTCTTCTGGAACAGAGAGTTGAGTTATACTGTGTGACACAGAACAAAAGGATTTTTATTTCTGTAAGAACTTTGTAAAAATCAAGTTGTCTCGCAAAGACAAGGGCTCAATGGAAAAACCATGGGGTTGTCCTCATGAAAGAAAGTGTTTCACCGTGATTGTATGAGTAGGACACAGGTGTTTCAGAGGGGTTTTTACCCTAAACAAGGTTGACCTTGAGTTCCTAGACTCACATAGCTCTGTGAAGACCTATGGCATTACCTGTTATTCTCTGTTCCCCATCATGTACACACATATGAACATGTGAGAGAAGGCTTTCCTTACACTTACTGATTGGATTAATCAAACTATCAACTGATGTGCTGGGGAAGAATGCAAGAAAGAGTTCTGAGTGAGGTGAAAACCACAATGCTCTCTCCACATTCAGGGCTCCAGCGGATGGAAATGTAAGGCCCTCTGCAGCCTGGTCTAACCTCGGGAGCCCATCTGACATGAAGAGGAGAGAGACAAGCGTCTACACTGAGCAGGTTTTCTTCCTGTGACAGAAAGCCTCCTGCCCCAAACCTCCAGAGCACCTCTCTTGTCTGTCCTCTCAGAATCGCCTCACCTACATCCAAAGGCTGGTTTTCCTCAGTCTGTGACCCTCTTCAGTGAAGGAGTTTCTCATGAGAAAAGCCTCCCAGCATCCAGACCCTATTCTCTGATTCTAGGAGGCCCTGAGCCCAGTTCCTGGTGTTCCTTCCTTGGCTCCATCCACTGACCTTAATCCTTCCTCCCCCTCCTCCCTGAACCTTGTTGAGATGTGAGATGATCCATTCGGTGAATATGGCCTCTTCGAGAATACCTCCCTTCTTAATGGCTCATTTCCAAATCCCATCTTATACCTGGCATCACTAGTTTTAAGGGGAAGCACTATAAGGAAGAGAGAATGAATAGGAGAAATGAAAGCGTATAAAAATATAAAGAGTGAGTAAGAGAGTTGTGGGTGAAGAAGGACAGGGTTAATGGATGATAAAATCTACTATTTCTTGAGAATTTTTTTTTATTTTAAAGTCTAATCAATTCTGCTTTATAGGCCGTGTGTCATATCTCTTTCTATATCTCTCACACTAACTTTGTAAGATAAGTACAGTTATTATTCCTATATTTAGATGACAGGACTAAACTCAGAAGAGCTGAGGCTTTTGCCTGAAGTCAGACATATAAGGGACAATGCTAGTGCCTGGACCCAGTCAGACACTGAATGTCCTGCTCATAGCCCCTTGCTGTACTGCCAAGGAGCATTTGATGGATGGAGCTGGGGAAGCATGGAAATTGAGCCGTAGATGAAGGAAGTGGGAATGGATAAATTGATAATTATAGATTTGAAAGCAGGAGTCTCTCATAGCTTGAACCAGGAAATGTTGACTCAGCAAACCCAAGGCACCTGTAGGGACTT